TCTTTCGAACATCTTCCTTTACAATTTGGCCTGACTTTTTAGATTCTCAGGTACCAGTCATTTTCTGCTTCTCTCTCGCCCGTCACTTTCTCCTGTTCACGTTCTCAAATTCTCTTAAAACATCGATTCCTCTCTGCTGTCTTTCAACTTTCTCTTTCTTTGCTGGTCTATTCTAGATCATCCTTTCTTCCTGTTTGTTTTTTCACTTCTCTTTTACCACTTCCTTATCCCCACTGTTCCACCTTTTCCCCCTCTCCCCCTCCTTCCCTCTCTCACACTTCATCAGCAGCTGTTGTTTATATTCATACAGCACCTGCCACCACCTGCTGATTTAGCTGTTGATGTGCTTCTCAATGGGTGATAAGAATTACAGCCAGAACTCCTGCTCATAGTCAGTCTATTCAAATTCAATTTCCAAGTTTGAAATTGGCATATTTCTTCTAGACAGAGTAGATGAAGCTAGTGTGCCAATACTGCGGGGTTCTACAATAGCACATTGTCAGCTAGATTTCAGTAGTTAGTGGCAGATTTAAATGCCAAAGACTAAGGTGGAATTTCTTTTAGATGAATTTGACATAGCTGAATTTGGAAGTGTAGAGGCCTAATTGGCCTCAGAAATCCATGGGGACATCTTAATGATTTGTAGCAGTAATCTCCCATCACACATTTATCCCCACTTTCATTGTGAAACCTTTCTCTGTCTTTAACTATACAAGTAGACTGTACACTTCATAAACCTCTGGGCTAAAAAAACACATTTAATATTTAGCATTTTTAGGGAAGCAAAAGGATATTTGCTCTGGTGCAAAATGTCCCAATCTTATTTTATTTAATGTAACATTTTTTAGACCTCTTATTTCACATTGAGATCATGTATTATAGTTGTATCAAATGCCAGTTAAAAGCAAGAAAACGGAGTCAATAAGGAAACATCTTTTTTTGCTTTGAACTGTAATCATACCTAAAATTAAAAAGTAATTGGCTTAGTTTAAACTGGAATCAAGGGGAAACAGATACCGTGTTTATATCTAAAGGTAAAAAATTTGCCTCAGAAGCTCATTTATTAGAATTTTACATCTTGTTTAATTTGTGCAAAAATCAAAGGATAGATGAGTTGTGGTGAGGAGTTACAGTATGTGTTGGTCTATTTCAGACAGTCATATAAAAGTCCTGCTCATAAACCCTTTAAGCCTGTTTAAACCTGTTGCTAGGTATGGCTTGTTGCCTCTGAATAATTAACCAGCACATGGAGCACAGGGTTAACCCAGTGGTTTTGCTCAGACCAAGTAAAATTACTGGCCAGGCCTTCTTCAGCCCTGCTGCTGCCACAGATGGATTTTTTTATTTAGGCTATCAGTGCATTTAATGTAATCATTTCCTTCAGGATGAAAAGAGAATTTCAAAAATGCTTCTGAAACGAATTGCCAACCCTACCTTTAGCCCTACACACAAACTGGAATGTCCCTTTGGACAGAGCTGGGCTATCTCTAGATAATCACCTGCTGCCTCCAGCTTCATATTTATATACAGATATGAGAGTAATATCAGTCTTCTCATCTACTGTAACTCTTGGCAACAAAGCTAACGAGCATATTTTACCAAATGTCAAATTAATCTTAAATGTCACACTGCGGCCGTTAGCTTGGTGGGAACAGCAGTGAATGCCAAAGGGATAATGTGAATTAAGAAAAAAAAACTTTTAAGAAATCATATATTAGGACGTACTGTCCACATCAGAGGGGCACTTGGACCACTCAAGTATTCCTCTGGTTAGCTCAAATGCTAATTGATACAATGTGACCTTGAGGCAAAACATAAATCTAATTTTAAGACAGATTAATTTCCGGGACTCTAACCTTCATCAGTATGTGAAGGTTTAGTCTTACAGAAAGCGTTTCTGACCTTGAAGCCATTCAGTTTGATTGAATCTTTTGCTGGAAGTTAAGTGCACACGAGCAACAATGAAAGTTAACAGTGAGGGTAGAAAAAAATAACATTCTACATGCAGTCAAAATGAACACCAAAGATTGGTTCTGGGGTTCTAAATAATGTGTCTGATGCTACAAATATTATACTTTGACTCAGTGTAACCCTTATTACAACACTGCACTTTTTCAAAAGGACTCCTATTTGATGACCTTTTTGTCCCCATTCTTTTAGACATCGCAGGAGTTTATTGCTTCCTTGATGTCTCGTCTCGGAGGGAAGAACCCTGAGGAGACCGGTGGGTTTCAGGAGGCTCCTCTGGCCTATGACGCAGTGTGGGCTCTGGCCCTTGCCCTCAATAAGACGGTGGGGTCACTGAAGGCCAAGGGCCGACGTCTGGAGGACTTTAACTATAACAACCATGACATCACCTCAGAGATCTACAGGGCCCTCAACACAAGCTCTTTCGAAGGTGTTTCGGTACGTGCAGAGGGGTAGAAAAAAGGAAAAGTACAGATAACAAAAACAGATGCTTATACTCTAATTATCATTCTGTAACCCATAGTTATTTAGCATATGTGTATATGCCATTTCACCACTGTTGTTTTGACTCTTTCAGTTCCAGCTGCACACACTAAATCTCTGTGAAAAGGGTTAAATGTGATCTGTGTGAAGGAAAGGAACAAAAGAAAAACAGTGAATGATGTAGCCAGTGTTTGCATTGTAGAAATACTTACTGTTAATGACTACAAATGATATCTCGATTTTTAATGGCAGTAATAACAGTAAATATATTCTGACATACTAACACATTACTGCACATTAGCATATATGTTTACATTTGAGTGTGTGTGAGATATCACCCTTGGCCAGTGACCTGACGAGCAAATAGCTACAGTACGTTATATGATTTCTTAAGGAAAGACGATGTTCAACTTTGTCAAAATGTCTAAGTAGTCATTTAAATAGGGAGTTAATTATCTGTACTAAAGGAAGTGTCCTCCTGTCTGTGCCTCAGGGTCATGTAGTGTTTGACGCCCAGGGTTCCAGGATGGCAATGACTCTAATCGAACAACTGCAAGGTAAAACTCTGCCACACTGCCATTCTGCAGGATCTAGACTTAAACAGTAAATGTCACTTATTCATAAAAAATAAAAAAAACATTGCCCACTGTATTCATTGTGTATCGACTGTTGCTCTCAGCTCATTTCAGAGCAAAGCCTTTTTTCTTGGGGTTCGTGGTCCTCACTGTGATCGGTCTATATGTCCTATAACTGCTCATGCAATTTGGTTGATGCAGTAACGTGTTTGCTCAAAGATTCGCTCTAATCGGGCACAAGCATTCATTTTAAGCTGTTTCTGGAAGTGACATCAAATTTGTCAGCAGTGACTTAATGAGTTTCCTCACACAGGATGAGGTTGAGGATTATTCTCTACCTCTGTTCTCTTCAGCATCCTAAACAATGACAATTTATAATCCTGCCCATCTCCCACATTTTGACTCATATTTCCTGCTGTGGTGTCGAGGTAATTTGACATCCACACTGAGACGACCTGACAGGAATCCCTGAATCACTGTGGGACCTCATCAGTATTCCTGGTCAAGACTGCCACAGACTGCCTTTTTTCCTCCTCATTTTCTCCTTCTTCTCCCCTTGGTACTTTTTTGTTTGGCCTTTCTTTGTGCACCTTTTCATCCTTCATTTCTTTTATCTGTTCATGGTGTGTTTTTTCTGTACCCACAGATTCCATTAACATGAAAGCACAGGAAAATAACTAACTGGTGTTTTTATGAATATAAATGTGTATCTGTTCTGCCAAGTTTTTTTGTATTGTTTGAAACCCATGAAATAAATTATACATGCAATACTAATCAAACTTTATTTTTGTCATGTTTTCCTTAAACATCTAGGGGGCAGTTACAAGAAGATTGGTTACTATGACATTTCTCAGAAGAACCTGTCCTGGTTTGGAAATGATGTTTGGATTGGTAAGATGGAGTTCATGACACTGCCATAACCGAGCTTCCTGTGTCTGTATTTGTTTCCTGTGTCTCATCCTGTGAGTCAACAGTGTCACTTTGTGCTTGACATTAGACCTCCTCTGTGTAGCTTAATTTGGCCTTTCTCACTGTCTAAATGATATGTAATCATGCTAGATTTTCTCTAATTGCTGGTTTAGATGAAGCTAGTTATTTGGATGGTGACGCACCCCCAAAATGAGCTGCCTGCACACACTCTGTCCAACATGTGTTAAAATGTTGGTGCAGAAAATGCACAGTAATCAAACAAGGCTTTGATCGGTTAACCCAGGTGTTTTAGAAGTCTGAGACCATGACGCACCCCTCAGACAAAATTGAGACAACTGCATGTTGTAAAGCATATTTCTGCAGTTGAGCACTATGGGTTTTACATTACCTTGATGGCCTGCATAAGCTGCTTATCTCAGCCTCTGCTGCAGCTTCATTTGCTGACCAGGCTGGTTTTTTTTTTTTTGCCTCAGGTCTCTTCCTCCAAGCCTGACATTTTAAAAACCTTCGGGCTTCCCTATTAACCCCACTAAGATTTTATTTTTTACATTGTTCTGCTATATAAAAAAGCTTGAGCCCACATCACACAAACCAGAACCTACACTGAACCCCGCTGACCATATTCTAATTTTCTGTGAAGACCTATCACTGTTGAGCTGCTTCAGACACTAAGACCAAGTTGGTGGTTGTTTACTGGTCTGTCGCTCCTTGGAGAGGTGACATACTTGTGCACTGAACAGACTGTGCCACTGATCAATCCTGCATGCCATGGCAGCCCATAGAGAGCTGTCTTTTTTGGCTTTTAAGGAAATAATCTGTTGCCAAGGCTGTTGCTAGAAGAGAAAGAGATTCCAGGTCAGTGCGAGTTGCGAGGGATGCGTGACCTGTAGGCAACTTGTCCATTACCAGCCTGGCTGCCAGCTCTTTAATTTAGCTTGTTGCAAATGTGGTGAGCTTTATGTTACTCCAGTTAAAACCTACTGGGTTAAAACTGGTCTGCTCTCTTACTGTAAGTGTCAGAGGTACGTTTTGTTTGCTTTCTCTACTGGAACCTGATTTAGTTTTTTTATTGTTTGCCAAATAAAGACACATTCATCTGTCATCCACTTGTTGAGAGGATGTGAGTAATTTCCTGCTCTGACTCGGTTTGGGGAAGTTTTTTTGATGGGGATGTGGTTGAATTGCTCCTCACTGACGGGGTGAATTACACAGGGGGGTTCTCAACTTAACCCCTCCACTTGTTTTCCTGCGTGTTTACCAGGTGCCTCCCGGGCTCACGTTCTCTATCTCTCTTCATGGTCGCCCTAACAACCGTTTCAGCTCAGCTCTCTTTGCAATCGCTGTGGCAACTGTTATAGAGCTGGGTCTCCATGGCAACACCTTGTCCTGATTCCTTGATCAAGGACGGAGGAGGGTTTAAATGGTGTGAACGCACTGACTGAATGGACAGTTGACACACAAACACACGCACACATATGCACACACACAGCAGAAAGTGTTACTATTTCATAGTGTATATTCATTCAATCATGTATACAGTCTTTAGAGTTCTCCTTTATGTACTATATATGTATATACATATATCTAACAGAAGAGTAGTAAACTATTTGTATAGCAGCTTTTATGCAAATTGTACATTAAGGCTTGAAGAGATTTACATTAAATTGTATATAAACCATTTAAAATATTTAAACACATTTATTTGAAAGTATAATGGAATAATTAAATTAAAACAAGATTAATAAATTTAGAATCAGTCATAACAAGCATATGGATTTTATAGATGCATAATTAAAAACATGAGACTTAAGATGTATTTTTAGAGCATGCCATGATTTAACATTGTTCTCCTGTAAAATTGTTGGACTCAGAATAGACAGTTGAAACAGAAGGATCAAAATCGATGCAGCAGAGTCAGAGATATCATCTTTTTAATTCCAAGCATTCTTGTTCCTTGTCAATACCTGCCGTCTGCATTACCCACAATGCAACTCGACTGCCAGCAGCTCCATTTGAGATTTGCTTGTGTTACATTAGTAGAGGATTAGAGGATCTAAGGACAGAGTGTGTCGTATGCTATATGGATTGTGAAGCCCCCTGAGGTAAATTTGTAATGTGTGATAATGGGCTGTATAAATCAAATTTGGCCTGACTGGACTTTGATCCATAACAAGGCCACCTTTACTTTAGCCTTTCCCTTCTCCCTCTTGCAATTGTTTACTTCCTATGTGTTAAAAAAGATTTTGAATTTAACTCGGTAAACCCTGCAGAAACCCTCTACTCTTGTCATCCCTCAGCCTGATGTCAGGAGACACACTTCGGCAGTGTGATGGCAGTGAGAAGCATCTAAAACAGAGCATGATGGGCGTCTTGACACCCTGTGGTCCTCGAGGGGGCGACACTCTGACACTTTCCTCTGACACCTGACACATCAGCTTCACGCAGCACTGACACTCCTGTTCTGCCCCGCCCCCCCACCCCCACGCACATACACTGTCTCCCTTGATTTCTCTCCCTCTCGCAGCCACACACACACAAACACATGCTGTATGCACACATACAGTAGATGCACCTCTGCACATATATGCACCCTATTGAGCATATGCACACATGCTTACTTACTGTATGGGTCTACATGCATATCATGCATAGAGTGTATATATACAGTCCAGATTTGCATAGGTATTCTCGGGAGCATGCTCACACACCCTGATATGCAAATCTGTCAGCAGTTCCATATTTAGGCTGACAGATATGCAGAGGCTGTTGTGTTAAACAAAAGGCTCCCTGTCCATCTGCCCATCTTTGAACCCTCCTCTCTGAGGAGTTCTTCTGGTTTCCAAGTACATGAATTGCTGAAATTGAACATGTAAATCACTGGTCACTTCTTTTTGCTGAAGCTATATAAATATTTTACGGTGCAAGAAACAACTGTGGTCACCTATGACATTATTGCATGTATTATTTTTAGCTAGTGTAATAACTGCATGTTCAGAGTGAGTTGTTTTTGAATTAAATTTTGTTCCTCCGTGTTTTCTTCTTTGTAAAATACAGTATATAGGGCTGTTGACCGTTGTTCTTGAGACAGCCAGTCTGCAGGTTGTGTTTACACTTGAACAGAAATAGTTCATGACTTGTTGTCCAAACCACATCTGGAATCAAAGGTGGAATGAACAGTGCGCTGTCATAGAGAGCACGGAGACACAATAATTATTTAAATAAAGGAATAACAGAGTGCATTGTCAAACAGTCTCTCCTGGAAGGCATTTGTAGTGTTGCACTTGGTTGTTCAGATGAAGAGTGACAGAAATAGTTGTGTGAGGAATACAAACACAGCCAGAGGGTGAGTGAGGTGGGAGTGAATGTCGGACTGTCTGTTTCAGAAAGTTATAGAAGAGGTTGAACACAGCCCCTCTAATCCAGCATTGGAAAGTTGTGGTGGAAGGGGGTTTCTAAAGCTATTTGAAAATCTGACATGCACTTCTCCAGACCAGTCTGGCATCTTGAAAGCTTCTTATTTTCAAAGGTTTACTGTACTTAAATGTCTTTTTTGTGGTAGCTTATAACATCAAATGAAATGATGTAGAATTGTGTGGTTAAGCACTGATGTGTATCGAACTGCATTTACATGCTTGAATCTTTGTAAACAGTGATCTCCAGATATAGGATGCTGCATCTTATGAATCAGTTTAAATATGCATCTCAGAAGGCTCAGACTCCATCACTATAAAATGTTATGAGGAGTTTTGTTACCACTCGACTACACTAATTGGTATTCTAATGATTAGGTGCTTGCATATATTTACTATACAATTTTCCATTCACAAACCAGGTTGTGCAGTTATATGCAACTATTGATTCAGTCATTTTAGACAAGTGGGTTTGTGCCAGGAGCTTGGATTGAACTGAGCGACAGAGCATTGTCTGTGCTTGCAAATCCTGATTATTTTGTTCCTTCATAACCATAAATGAAGAACCAACACACACTGTCCTTTGGCTGAAATTACTAATGTATATTAATCTGCTGCTGAAAATAGTTCCAAAAAAAAAAAAGTAACCTACTCCTGTTTGAGTACTGTTCCCTAAAAAGTACAACTGTTAGGAAGTAGCTTTTAAATAATTCAGTAGGAACCAATGGACTTGTCTGGGGAAGTTGTGAAGTATTAAGAGACAGACTGAGATGTTTTGTCTTTTAATGGCATTTGTTGACAGTGAGAAAAGTACAGTATAGACTTTTGTCAGCCTTATTCTTCAATGAAAATATATATATTTTAAATCCAGGTCCTGTGGTTTTATAGATTTAGCCACTGTATTCACTAGCCACAGGTTATTATCTCATTAATACAGTATAGTGAGATGTTCTGGGCACCATAATTGAAACAAGATGGCACTAGAAACAATTTGTCTCCTAAAATATCTTTCTCTCTTCCATCTCCATTTAGGTGATAGACCTCCAGCCGATCGGACACTGGTGAATGAAGAGTACAGGCTCTTGTCTCAGAAGCTGTTTGCAGCTGTGTCCGTCTTTGCCGGCCTCGGCATCCTGCTGGGCATCCTCTGTTTAACCTTCAACATCTACAACGGCAACGTCCGGTATGAATGAATGCATAATTTCATTCCCAGGCCCACGCTAATAAATCTAAAATATTCTGTTCATTACAGCTGCAACAGTTAGTCAATTAATTGAATAGTCAGTCATCAGAAAATGAAAACTGATTCATCTTTACGTACATATTTAAGCACAATACAAAATAATTGTTGGCATTAGCATCTCAAATGTAAGAAGTTGCTGTTGTTACATTATGGTGCATTGAAAATCTTTGGCTTTTGGACTCTTGATTAGACAAAAGAAGACAAGCTAATTACACAAGCTTTCACTGTTTTACAGGCCAAATGGGTAATAATTGGCAGATTAATCAGTTTTGCTTGTTTCAGCCCTAAAATACATTATTATTATTATTATAGTATATTGTACATGTAATACATTTTCTTAAGTGTGGGTGTCTGTGGTATAGTTTTTGCCTCTGTGTTTGTCTTTCCAAAAGGCATGAATGATGAGTGAACGCTACAAATTATTGAACTGAAAGATCAATTAAATGGGAAACATTGGTCCAGAGGTTAAAGACATGGTTTTGTACATAAAGGTCATTTGTTTAAGGAGCTACATTGGCTCTGAAAATGTCAGTGGTGAATGGAAATGACATCCTGTAACAGCCTCCAGCTGCTCCAGCAGAGCTGATCATTCACTGTGGTTGCACTCCAAGTGTGAATGTGAGTATTTGTAGGATGTGAGATTGAGGAAAGAAATAACTCAAATGTTCAGCAGAGATCCTTCTTTTTTGAGGTTAATGTAAATACTGAAAGGCACTGTTGAGTCCAGAGTTTAGGGACTAGTGATTTGGGTGTGGCTGTGTGTAATCTAGAAGCTAGTTTCATTGTCACCATTAAAGCATCGCCCCAGACCAAATGCAAATAGACTTCTTTTAAAAAATGCCTTTTGATCTGGGATTTCTAAGATTAAAACATGTCTGTGAATCCAGCACAGCATATCTCCAATGCTTTTAACCCAGTATATTTATGTTTGACCTGGGTCAAAGTGATTTAAAGTCCCATAAGCCCATGGGCTTATCAAGAGTTTTCGGAAAGCCTGAGAGGTTTGTTGCTCTGGGGATCTCTGGCTGGCTCCAGCGTGCCAGTCAGGCCATCCTCTAGCTTTGATTATGTTTCAAACACAGTTTCACCGCGGGCTGATCTCAGCAGCCAAAACACAATGAGTCAGATCAAATCAAATCAAATTTATTCAGTAAGTTTTTTTTTTATTATCACAAAATAGGTTTGCCACCAGCTGCCTTGTTAGGAGACAAAAATACACTTTATATAAAGTAGGAAAAGTCAAACTTAATCACATCTTAAAGGAGCAGTCCTTTGGAAACTAAAACACTCTGACACTGTTTAAATATCAGGTGTTGTACCGTCTACCCAGGGATGTGATGTTTTATTGTTATAGTAAAGTTTCTACAGAATATCCTCCAGTGATTTAAAACATCAGCAGCAAACGTCAAATTTTGGTTGCCCATTCAGGGATAAAAATCCACTATAAAAGAGAAAATATGTACCAGTTTTTCTTTAAACATTACTTCAATTTAATATAATTCAAGGCAGCAACAAGACATGGTGTGTGATTAGTGAAGACAGCTGCACTTCACATCAGAAAATAACTCCTTGAGTAGGAGCCTTCATGATATGGAACAGCATTAAAGGTTTTTCAGAGGTGAAGACTGGATTGCGGCCAGTGTCCATGTGACACTGTACTGTGAATGTTAGTGTTTGTTTATATGCAGGCAGCATGTGTGTGTGTGACTGTGTGATAAATAAGCAGTGTAGCCTCAGGGCAATATGAAAGCAGGCCAACAGATGAAGGAACAGTAGACACACCTTCCGCTGCAGGATGAACTGGATGAAATGCTTAAACTCAACAAAGGACTCGTATCTGGAGTTTTTGATAAATACTGAGATTGTTTCTCCTAATGTGATATTTAAAGAAACACTGTCTCGAGCAGATTGAAATCACTGTACTTATTTATTCTTTACTGTGTTAATTACTTTTTACTTTATAATCCTTTAAGCTCTTGTTTGTACTTTAAGAATACCAAGATTAAACCACAGCCACGCTTTAGTGCAGTGGCAAAACTTTTCTGTTGTCAGAGATGTGGGCAGAGAAATGTAGATAATAAGGAGCTTAAGACGTTCACAATTAATAGTTGCTGCTATGGTAAAGTAATACACTATCTCAGGTTAAATATAGTGATCTTCAGCCACATTCTTTTCTGTCTCCAGCACCACCTCACAGTGAAGGAATTAGAGGCTTTTGATTTTGTTTAGATTTGCAAAAATTACATTTTAAAAAATTTAACAGCATGTTCTCTTTCCAGAAACGGCATCCCAAGAGTTGGCATTCATGGTTTTTAAAAAAAAAAAAAAAAAAAAAAAAAAAATTCTGCAGATAGAAAAAAACAAAAATGACGTCAACTGATTCAAATATTCAAAATATGTATTTTATACATATGCTTTAAATTACATGTTTAATTTAGTGTTGTAATAAGCATTTCCATAAACAAGGAAGCAATGTGTCTATTAGAATAAAACAATTTAAAATAAGTTAAAATAATCATAAGACTTTATTTTTCTCTGGTGTAAATGTCACAATCTATCCAGTACAAATTCAAATTATAAGCATAGATGCTAATTAAAACCAGCTCCCCCTTTACTACATTAAATGTAATGAACACAATAATGCACCAGTAACTATTATCAAATCATATGATATACATTAATGTTAAATAACATTTTGACTTTTACTTGTAACAGAGTATTTTTACACTATTGTATTGATACTTTTCCTTGAGTAATGGATCTGAGTACTTCTTCCACCACTGGCCACAATATTTGCTACACATATTCATGTATCCATTAGCATCACCTGGTAATAAACTGCAACAAATACATAACACTACCAGAGAAACTAAACCAATTTAGGGCTTTTATCTGATGTGATTACAGAGGTGGCATAGGGGCAAACCACCTTGGAATAATGTGAACACTCCTGAGTCACAATATGGGGTGTTTTTGCTAAATATCCCATGTCGACACTGAATGCAGCATGAGCATTGTGTGTGTTTTCACACAATGACGTTCGCATTTAACTCAAGACAGTGCTGTGTGCACCCAGACAGAGCTGCTAGCATGATTGTAGGCTCTCTTGTTACCACAGTAAAAAACTGTTGACAGCTTGTGAAGAGTGGATTATCCAGAGAAATCAGCACATATTTTCTGTGTTTCTAATCATTGCCAATTGGCAATTAAAACTCACCTGATGTTGAGCTGCTCAAAATAGAAGGGTTTTTTCCACACCAAATTGTATTCCAATTAATTTTGTATCCATTCCTGGAGAAAATTTTGCTGCATGTGAATTTCCCTGTTTTCAGCACTTGAATGTTTGTGATTTAAAAAAAAAAAAATCATTCAGTTGTAGTTTTCGCCTTTAATAGCTGCTGCACTGTTCAGCACTTCACAGAAGACAGGAGACTATTTAGTTTAATGACGATCAATCACATATCAAAAGAGATGCTCAGAGCAACGCTCCATATTTGGACTTTTTTCAAAGTGACACAGCATAGCTGTCTGTCTGAGCCAGCAAATACACATGATCAAATTTAAATTAAAACATCAGAACAATTAACAGCAACCGATGATATTTCAAAGAGCTGACAGCAGATCGCCGACGCAATTAACGCCTATTTAGTTGCAAATTTACCAAATGTACATTTAAGCAGAAATGAAATTGAATGTGCTTTGTTTTCTGTCCCTATTTCTCACTGTTTCAGTTACATCCAGAACTCTCAGCCCTACCTGAACAACATGACAGCTGTGGGCTGTATGATGGCTCTGGCTGCAGTGTTCCCGCTGGGAATCGATGGTCACCATGTCCACAGATCACAGTTCCCCGTCGTCTGCCAGGTAACAGGAGAATAAGACAGACAGAGTGACAGAGACAGGGAAGAGCCAGAAGGCAGGGTGAAGATTTGGGCTTGGTACTGTCTGCTAAGACTTGGTTTCACTGGTTTTAAGCTGATTTGATCATCTTCTTCCATGGTGTGTGACAGCGTCACATTATGCAGATTGTGTTTCATGTTAATTGTAAGTGGCATTGTCAGAACCATGAATGAAGTACTTAATATCATAATGGTTGAAATGGAGCTACACCTGTGGGAAAATTCAGTTGTAACTACAGAAGAAGGTGATATTCAACAGCATAAGCAATAGAAGACACACATGTAACTAGAACCAAATAACCTACAAAATTGAACATTGCAATTAAATCTAATAGTTTGTGGACCTTTTTTTTTTGGCAAAAGACAGAGCATTTATTTCCAAATGTGGTCACAATCTGATGTTATTCTGAGCAGTGGTGATGGAATAAGAGTGTAAAAGCATCAGCGCCGTCAGAAAATAGTGCATTTTAAATATAGCTTGTCATGTATGTTTCTCACTATTTGTCACTATGTATTTTTTTGTTGTGTAAACTATCTTTCCACTTGTTAGAAGCTCTATTACCACTTTATTGTAAATGCTTTCATCCATGTTGGGATCAATGACTCTGTATTTTCAGTGGTCTGATTGGTCCATAGTTGAGCAGTTGGCAGCCTTTGATCAGATCCTCTAAAGTTCACCTGATTAGGTTAGCTGTGCGGCATCTGTTACCATGGTGATCTAGCCCTGTTAAAAGTGATTCAGGTCCTGGCCAAAGACCGCTGGCCACCCTACAAACTGAGATTGTGGTACAGGCCCCAGGTTTGTAAGGGTTAAGGTACAATATCTAAAAGTTTAACGTTTATGTCAGCAGTACACGAAAGCGCACGTCATTGTTATAAAATTAACGGTGATTCATTGTATTTAATTTGCGGTGCTGCTGGACCTTGTAGTTATTTTTGGTGCTTTGCAGGTACAGCTGTCAGTTTTTGTAAACCCTTATCCAACTGTGAAATTGTGCTCCTACTTTAAGAAAAACCACATTTAGGTGTTGTGACGCCTTGACAGATGTGATGTTCCTGCCTGTGGCAAGCAGACACCTGCGAAACCAATCAGCAGTCATTGCAGGATTTTGATCTCACACACTTAGTGGACTATGGATGATCAAAGTTTAAACACTGACACAATTCATTCAGTATTTGAATGTATTTTGGTATTGGCTGTTACAGGCGTGATTTGCTGGGTGAAAGAATAGCACAGACGACGGGATCCCAGCACTAATGAGGAGTGGGAGTACTTCTCTGTCACTTGTGTTGAATCTTTGTGTTATGGAAGCAAGAGAGAGATTTCCATTTCTGTCACTTCTCTGCTCTTTGTCCCTGTCCAGCTATTCTCTCTCATGCTTTGTTCTGCCTCTGACCTTCTACTCTGGATAGTTTTTTTCTTGTTTATACAACCTCACCATATCTTCCAATTTATAATATCTCTCTCCTGCTCCTGCTTGCTCTCTGTATCTTGCCTTATCACCTATCTTTTTTCTGCATCACCTACTTTACTCTCTCTCCTTGTCTCTTCCTTTTGCCTTCTCTTCCACATCCTCTGTCTGTCTTGCTCTCCTCTTTATCATCTCCTCTCTTTTTCATTTCATCTCATCTCTTCTTCCTGTCCTTATTTTTTTCATCTCACCTCCTTCTGTCTTGCTCACTTAATCTCACCTTTCTCCCCTCCCTTCTCCTGTACCTTCCTCTTTTTTCTCCTTTCATCATTGGTTTATTTGTGGCAAGATGTATATTTCTATTTTTCTGGCTTAACAAATGAAATTGACATTTTTCTCTGTGTTTCTCATAGTTTAATAAAGGTAGGGGCTTAATTTCCCCTGGGCATACAGTTTGAAATCTTATTTCTGTCCCCATCACATTTATGGGGACATTTCAGGATGGTTTGCTTACTAAAATCTCTCTAAACACTAATGTTCAGTTACCTCCATCGAGATGGGAAAGGAGAGAAGTTGATATATGCTGATATTTTCATCTGAGTCTCTTTCAGTTATTACCATGTGCTCGGAGCAATAAGCTCAACAAGCAGCAGCAAAAAGTTAGTTTAATCCTTTGGGTATCATCTCTCAGGCTACTTACTGGTAGGCTGCCCTGCCTTGTTGATGGAAGTTGTTGAGGATCATTTAAAGAAAATGCAAAAAAAAAACCAGAACTCCTAAGTCGGTTAATACAAAATATATTATCTACACAGTATATATGTATATATATATTTACCTCATTGTGAAACCAAACCTACACGCCTGAGTAACAGCATTATTAAATCTAAATTCTCCTCTCCTCTTGTCTCATCTTCACTTTCTCTTCTCATTTTCGCTCCTCTCCTCCAGTTCCGTCTGTGGCTCCTTGGCCTCGGCTTCAGCCTGGCATATGGCAGTATGTTCACCAAGATCTGGTGGGTCCACACCCTTTTCACAAAGAAGGACGAGAAGAAGGAGAAGAAGAAGGTAGGGAGGAGGAGTGGGAGGGAAGTTGCCTGGAAGGGATAAGCCTTTCGGCGTTTGTGTGGTGCTGGCTGATTTAAAAAAAAAAATAAGGCCAGCAAGGCATCATCCACTATAGCGGGGTTGCAGCGAGAGTACAGGGACACACACTGACATACATACTGTACTTTACACATTTACACATGCATAGAAACATGCAGAGGCTGATTTTGGACACACATGCAGGCCCCTGATTCCCACGTCACCAGCTTCATTTCCATGCTGGTGTATATCTGCCTATGTGTCTGTGGGTATGTGTACCTTCTCTTAAAGATAGTGTATCCTGGAGCCAGTCTGCCATGTGTCGCAGCAATTTCTAAGACCTAATCAGACGAATGCAAGATTAAGCCATTTATGGAATATGTATGAATATGAATGAGTATTAAATTTATATGCAGAAATACAACCTTCTGGGGGGTTTATCATTTGAGCCAAAGCACAACGAATCAGTCTGACTTTCAACTCGCTTCATGTCCACAGAAGGACAATTTGCCAAAGAGCTCTGCGTGAGTATTATAAGGAACTTTCACAAATCTAGGGGAGAATGAACCATTTTCAGAAAATATTTCATGCAGCTCAGATAGAGAGGTGCCCAGGACTGTTTTTACTTCTTTGTTTTATTTTTCTGTTTTACTCATTGCACACTTGGATGACTGTTACTACTGCATGTTGGAGGTGCTGGGTGTAAGCCAATCGAGTTAAAAAATGTGTAGAAATGGAGAGGGAGAGTGACGTGGGAGAGCTCATTTTTGTTGCTTGTTTTCATTTTAGGGGTGTATTGCTTCCATTCTAGCTTAAGCTCAGAATAATGGAGTTGATATTGGTCGCTCCAGAAAACATCCACGCCAAAGCGGTGTCATCTCAGTGTGTGTCAATGATGAATTCAGGTGGCAGCACAAATATAGCCACTGCAGCGCTCTGTGTGTTGCCTGCAGAAGCATACACATGGTCTCATGCTGTTCTTAAGATATACTTGGACACACACACACACACACATTTGTACACACACCCAGATGAGACGCATTTAGAAAGACTATTCGTGCCGAGTCTTTTGTACACACACCCAGATGAGACACATTTAGAAAGACTATTCGTGCCGAGTCATCCAGAAATCACAAGTACGCCTGTCGTATTATTTGTCCGGGTTGTTTGTCTTTGTTTGTGGTGTGGCTCGTGATGCCCTTGGATAGTGATAACTGTTGTTTTTGTGTGTGTGTGTGTGTCTTTGCTCAAACTCACACAGCAACACTTGGAGCCATGGAAACTCTACGCAACAGTTGGAGTGCTGCTGGCTATCGACTTCTTGTCACTCATGGTTTGGCAGATTGTGGATCCTCTGCACATTACGGTGGAGGTAGAGTACGAGAGACAGATGAGATAATTTGTGTCATCAGCCATTTGCACAGACCGTGCGTCCACTGTCATCAGTCAGTAATGCAGTAATAAGACACTGAGCCTGTTTTGAAGAAATGCTTTTTTCTATTCATCTCACACTCGGAGCACAATCTAAAACTAGGACAGACGTATCATTTTTACAAAGCACATTTTACAGCAGCAATACTATAACAGTGATAATTATGGCTTGAATAATTGTGTTTGATAATATTTGATTAGACCATACATGCCAATTAAAGGTACCCTGTGGCATTTGTGCAATAAACAAAATTCACCCAACAGCCAAACACACTGAATGAACTCCCTGCCTCATAAAACATTTTTCCTTTAAAGATCCTATGAAACTTTATATTTAATTTTATTAAACCTGCACTTATTGATATTTTCAGTATTAACACTGAATCATTTTTATCACTCATAGTGAAGAAAACAGAATTATCAACTGAGTCTGCAGTTCTACAATGTATTTTGGTTTATTTTAGCCTCTTTTAACTCATTGTTTTAGCTTGGTTGCTCTCATCCATCTCCATAAGCAACAGTTTCCAATAAAAGAAACAAACTAAATAAATATAGATCCACTACCTACCCAGCAACAGACAACGTTAGTGACTAGCAGAGTTAAAAGGAACGTAAATATTGGACTCAGAAACACAACTAAATAAATACTAATATGTAGCTAGAAGAAAAAAAAAAATGCCAGAGAGCTCAGGAAGTCCACTACAAATTAATTGGAGGTGTGTGGGAGAACTTTTTCCCAGGGCCAGACAGGGTCCAGTGCTCCCCCGCACAGTTCCCTATCTGCTGTCAGAAATCACTGAGCCTAAACAGTGTTGCACAGCATAAGATTTATTGAGGGAAAAAATCAGAAACACTCCAATAGTATCTGTTTCCGGTCCATGGAGCGGAACGACTACAGAGCTCGGAACATCCCTTTTATACTCTCTATAGCTCCTCTTTGCCCAGGGCTTGTTTCATCCCACCTTTCTCTCTGACCTACTTAGGACTATACTGTTATTATTTAATTGGTTAATACAGGTTTCTAAAAAAATTTAAATGACTTCAAGTGGAAAATACAAATCATGCTGTCTCCTTCAGGTTTAAGTCCAGGTTACTTGATTGACATCCCTGGTTACATAGCACATCAAAAAAAAAAAAAAAATCCCTCTTTACATAACTTCACAACTAAGGGCGCTCCCTTTGCCTGCTGTCAAGGCCATCATCCTTGCTCAGTCTGGGCAGCTGTCCAAGCAATAGACTGATAAGCTTTTTTCTCTCTTGCCTACTTTAAGGCTACTGGGGTCATTTCACGGTCAACTTTCTCACCTCTGCCTCTATCACCCTTGTCAACCTTGTGTAAATTAAAATAAGATCAACATAAAGCACATAGAGCAAATGAGAACAAATAAAGCAAACAATTTTTCATCAGGTGCTCTTTGAAAAAAGGGACAAATCAGCAGATAAAAAAGATACATACTGTATTTCAAGTGGTGGTTACAGCCCATGCATAGCAGCAAAAAACTGCCTTCTTCAGGGTGTCAGTACAATGTTGAAGTATCGGTACTTCACTTGAGTATTTTAATTTCAGCTATGTCATACTTTAGATTTACTACATTTCAAAGAACAGTATTGTACTTGGTACTCATTTATTATCTTTAGTTAGCTATCTCTAGTTTTCAGAATGGGGTTAATAAAACAAAATATACTATAATCACAAGATTTATTGATCCTTGGTGTAAAATGCACAAGCTACCCAGCAGTAATTCACATTATAAACCTATAAGGTAGTTAAAATGAGCTCTACCTTTATCATCTGTAACATAAAATGTGATGTACACAATAATGCATCAGTAATTATAATCAAATAATATGATGTACATCAATGTAAACTGTGATTTCATTTTTTTTTTTTTTTTGCATAAGTACTTTTACCTTTGGTATCTTTAGTAACATTTTGAATGAAAGACTTTTAACTGAATATTTTTACATTGTGGTATTGCTACTTTTACTTACGAAAACAGTGTGAGTACCTCAGCCACATTTACGACATGTCAACAGTTGTCATAAATGTGGCTGGTTGATTTAATCGACAGGGAAGGTTTTTGTTTCATCTAAGTTGATAATGCCCGCTTGTTAACAAGCAGTTGCTTATTTACGCATCCAGCAGTTACATTATTATTCTTTCGGAATCCCCCTCCCAATGAATGCAAGTCCAATATTCACGCTCCTTTTTTGCTAGAAACAGCTGCCTGCTGCATCCAAGTAAAAGTTGAGCAGTAAGGCTGGAACAAAACAGTACAGTTGTGGTTTGGAAAAGCAAAAACATTAGTAGAGCAATGTTAAAATGCTGCATGTAGCTCATGGGAGCTGCAGAATCAGGTGATAATTTCCCACTATGAGTGGTACCTCTCACATATACATAGTCATGTGCTCTACTGCTAACATACATTGCTTTATAGCCACTTTAGTTACCTGAAAATTGTGTTGTATACATCAGTTTGTGGTCTTTTCTTACTGTTGTATTTCCACATTTTACAGTATGTTACTGAACCCAGCTGTCAGTGAGTGACACTACACAAAGGTTATGTGTCATGTCAGTCCTCAGGGTATGCTTTAGTGTCATCATGCATGTGTTGGCAAAACCCAAAGTACAAACTATAGGAACCCAGTGTTTCCCCTGCCATTCATTTGGTGGGACAGCCTGCCCCACCAGCACAACCTCCTGACCCCCTGAAAAAGGAAGGCACAAAGCAACTTATATGCATTTTGCTGTCTTGCACCATAACTTTCATTCTCTCCTGTCCCTACCGAGGGTGTGGCTTATCCATGCTTTACACACACACAGAGCAAAGCAGGGGAGACAGGCTGAGTGAGAGAAACTGGAATTGAAGACAAAGTTGTGTGCAAAAAAAAAAAAGATGGACGAACATCGGGTCTGCCTTCCCTGACCAACCCTAGGGGAAACACTGGGTACCCATTCATCAAAATGTTGCTCCACTGTAACAAAAACTCCAGGGACTTTTTATTATGTTAAAACAGTTTACAACAAACTTCATTGTTAAATTACCTTGCAGTCATTTTGCTGAAGCTTAATGTCCAAAGTAACTTTCAAGAAGTTCTGTAGACTTTGATACTATTATCAGCCCAACTCTGCACAGCGCTGACTTTAACTACAGTCAAGTGTTATATTGAATTTTAAAATACCTATATTTCATATTTATCGGTTATCTAATACTTTGTTAATCTAGTCCTATATCTGATTTGCGGCAGGGACCTTTTTACCTGTGAGGATCTGCCAGACAGTCTCTGAGACTTACTGTATGCTTACTGTGCATTTCTCAATCAGTGAGGCAAATCTTATATGTATGGCATCTTTTGTACAGGTTAATGCAGTTTAAAGTGACTGACAAGCAGATAATAAGACAGAACAAATATGAACAATGTGCTGCTGTCTCATTGTTTCTTATTATCTCCCCTCTACTCTGCTCTCTCTCCTTCCCTGTACTGCTCTTACCCTTCCATTGTTCATCCCTCTTCCTTGGTCTGCAATGTGAGTAGAAGTTCACTAAGGAGGCCCCTAAAGAAGATTTGGATGTCCTGATTCAGCCCTTGTTGGAGCACTGCAGCTCAGAGAAGATGAACACGTGGCTTGGTATCTTTCCTCTCCTTATTTTCTTTAACCCACTCTTCCATCTCAGTCTATCTCTTTATCACTCTTTGCTTTGCTCTGGTTTTGAATATCTTTGTCATACACACACACACACACACACACACACACACACACGGACATATGCAGACACGTATGCGTGTACACACACACACACACACACATGCCACTGCTATTCACTCTGAATTAAACAGGTCTCATATCATAGCCCCCGACTCCCTCAGCCCCTGCTACCCCGTTACGTTTGATTCCTCTTTTTTGTTCTCTCTTGCTTTTCTCCCTCTGTCAGCCCACGCAGTCCCTCTCTCTCTCTCGCTGTCTGTCTCTCTGCTGTCTTTCTTAGTGTGGCATCTTTTATGAAAGTATAATGATGCTGAAATTCAAATAATGTGGGTCACAAACTGGGCCATTGCCCCATAGCATTTCCTTTCTCAGAAAAGAAAAGATGGTGCTTTAATATCAGGCAGTATAAAGAAACAATGGACAGTCTGAAGAAGTGTCAAACTTACTTTCTCTTCACTGCTCCCGTCTTTCACTGTTATATTCTCCTTTCTTTGTCAGTCTGTCCAGCTTTGAGCGGCTTACTACATATTCTCCCTTGTCAGTCTATAATACTTGTGTTATTACAGGCTTTCAGTCTCTGCACAGTTGAGTCATACCCCATGACTCCTCAGTGGCCACATTTACCTGATACTGTTACTATTGCCTACACTAGATGCAAGCAGTAGACATGTTAAGCCGGCATGATTCCATAAATTCACAAATTCTTATAACTAGTTTGTTTCATAAAATATAAAGGAATAACTTCAGCAGTTTAGTGTTACACTTCCATAAAGTTGTGGGACTTGTGAGATGCAGGCTAAAAAGAAATAGCAACTTCTAGTGGCTCTGTGAGGCTTCAGGCTAAGTGCTTGGGTCAGTGTGCTGTAATGCTCACGATGATAATGCTAACATCTTCGTAGCATGTTAGAATGCTAGCATTGTCACTGAATATAAAGGACAGCAGAAGGTGAAATGTCAGTATCTGTGCAGGTATTTGATGTGATAGTGGTGTTAGATGAAAAGTCGGGATCACCAAACTTTTTATACTGTAACAATTTATATTGCATATACTGTTGAAACACTCAAGACTGAAATTTCAACCTCATGGTGGCGCTAGAGGTCAAGTCATTTGGATTCATCATCTGGTAGCCAAAGCAGAGATGCACTCCAGTCATTTGGTGAATCCCAATTCCACTAATTACATCACCACATAAGACGCAAGGAGAAACTGCCAGGAGAGAGGAACAGCGGAAACGCATTTTAACGGACATGAGACGTCCTTTCCTTCACCCTTAACGTGAAATGTCCAATCACAACTCATTTCCAATCGTGCGTGTCAATCTGTAATCGACTTCTCATGCGCTCATGTATCCTCGGTTAAAGTTCCTCCAGAAGCCTCCTCGATCTTTGGCCCTCACTCCTCAGAGCAGCTTTGGGACGTCCTTTGTCATGATAGACCCGGATCTTCGCTCCGGGGTGAGCAAAGATCGAGGACCAAGGAACGATAAAATAAGGGAATTGGGATTCACCTAAAGTCTCAAACTTTAGAAATCTCCCTCCAGAGCCTCAGAAGACATTACACAGCTTTTCTCACAAGGTGTGTAGTACACCCTGTTACTGCTAAATTGATTCTGACATGTTAAATCAGTGAAGTGACCCTGAAATTCATTAAGAGGTCACAGTGAGTGAGTGTTGGTTAGAGACCCGCCATGTTTTGCATTTTACTTTTGATATCAGCAGTCTTGAGTGTTTTTCAATGAATATGAGCAAAACTGTGAAAAATTCATCCTCCAGGTTTTTAGTTCTTTGAGATTTTAATGTCCTGTGACATGCACAACTTATTTTTTGTTTCTTCCAAATCAATCCTTCTCCTAGCTACTTCTGCAGTCCAAAAATATTAAGACCACTTGCTCTCCATGGTGCGAGCTAGGGGGAGCTCAGCTCCCTTTAATAAGACGAGCTCCCCTGAAAGCATGATTTGCAAAGTTTTGGGGGGGTCTGAGTCTAAAATATTGGCATGGTATTTTGCCACATATTTCTGTTTTTATAATATCATGGATCATTAGGCTATTATTGATTGTTATTGATGTATGATTCACACATGAAGGTGATTCAGCACAAATTCATTTTAGAGTCATTCATTTTATTTATATGCAATTCATGCATATAATCTTTGTCATCACCACTGAAGCGTGGCGCCACAGTAAACTTCACTTTGATGCAAGGTCACCAGATCAATCTCTCTTGATTATGTCAGTTGCCTTAAAACAAAAAAGAAGAAGAAAAAACATTCCCACGCAGATCATATGGTTATGTTATGTCAAAAAAGAAACAAGGCAGCTTAGGTTTTAAGTGTCACAATCAGTCCTCTTTGTGGCACACGCTTGGTTTTCCTTCTAACATTTGTAAAGCAGAAAATAAAATAAGTAATTAGTATATGATCCATAACAGTAAGGAATACAAAGGTACATAGTCACACAGGAGGGTGCACATAGTAGAATGGCCTCTTTCCTCACTGCTCTCTGCAGTGGGCAGTTTGGTTACTTTAATATTCATCCTTCATATGATTTTTCATGATAAAACACTTCCACGCTCCATTTTTTTCTATAAACATAAGTGCTCTGTTGCATTAGAAATGTAACATGGCTGCTCCTTCACACATTCACTCCTTTACCTTCATGTTCTCACTGTTTTCTCTTGTCCTGTAGGTGTGGTTTATGGCTACAAGGGTCTGCTGCTGCTGCTGGGTATATTTCTGGCTTATGAGACCAAGTCTGTCTCCACAGAAAAGATCAATGACCATCGGGCAGTGGGGATGGCTATTTACAACGTTGCTGTGAGTCTAAAAAAGAAACTCCACCATCATGCCTAAACTCCTGTTTCTGATGGTCTGCCTCTTTGTCTGTTTCTCTCTCACTGCAAAGAACATTCTCTAACACACTGAATAATATTAAAGTGGAAACAAGTTAGATTTTTATTACCCCTTAGCACAAAATGTCCATAGTACGGATGTTTATCAGTGTCAGTGCTTCGGTGATTACTTTGCCTGGTGCTGAGATTTCTGACTTCCACAAGGTGCTTTCCTGTTCGTGTTGGAACAAGACAGTCAGCTGACCAGAGTTTAAAGATACAGTCCTCAGCTTCAAGAGATCACAAGTTTGAGTTCCTGCTAGCCATCTCTAAAAGTTAATGGAGTTCACAGATAGCTTAATGCTCCTTTAATGTCCCATTTAAGTAGCTAAGTGCCCAAAGGTGACCAACCATTACACAGAGATACTTTCTGTTCATCTACAATGGATTGTAAAATATGCATTGATTTTTAGTTAATTTGGTTTTGGTGTCAGAATAAAGGCTCTTAGAATCACCATTTTGCATAGATTTTCAAAAATCTAATTCCATCCACTAAAATCTCCACTTTGGGCACAACAGAATATAAATAACATCTTTCCATCCCACTGATGATTAAATATTTAATACCGAAGAGTAGATGGTGATTTAATGATTGGTTGGAGCACCTCAAGACGCAGTAACAGGCGTATATACGTACAGAATATTCAGTGTTTTCCACAAACACATCTTGAGATTTTAATTTCTAAAATGCAGATCCCTGGATGCATTTCTGTCCAAATCATAATCCTCTCAGCACAAGCTGCTGTCTTATATGAATCATAAATCTTGATGCTTATGGCACCTGCGCTGCTTTGATGCCTAACAGTGATATCTCAGGTCTGCTTTGTAAAATGAAAACTTGTTCTCTATGGGAATTACTGGTGAAATAAATGTTAAATAAAACCAATAAAACACGAAAGGAAGCATCGCAAACTTTTATTGCACTGGGAGGTAGCTGCTGGTAGTGGAGCTCCTTGTACCTCAGCTTTAGTGCTGAGCTTATACGGCATATATATATATGCAGAATTCAGCATATGTAGTGTGAGTTATGCGTCATCTTTGTGTGTGGCTATATCACATACTTGTTTCTTTGTATGGAGCTATTACCTTGCCCTGTAACAGCAATAGGTTTAATGATGTACCCCAGTAAATGCAACCGTCAGTCATAAACATGTTCAGTGGCTGTTAATAACAAGTGAATCATCTTAAACAGAGGCACCTAGGATGTACTTTACACTGAAATAGCTGCCATTATGTTCACTTTAGCCACTTTAGACAAATACATGCTGCCATTTTCTGACACTCTTGGCACAGGGAAACTTTGAAATTGATGTAAAATGTAAAAAAAGGTTTCTATCACTTTAACTGTCAGGAATTCTCCTGTTTTGATAAAAAGCAAGGCAAACTTTTTTTGGGGGGGATTTTAGTTGCCATTTTATAGAATTTCCTGTCCTTGCTTGAATTCCTATTAATAAATAAGAGCGGAAGCATCCTAATGAGCATCCGAACACTTATCAGCTTATGCTTTGTAATTAATAAATGGATTGATCTCGCCTCTTTCATCGAGGAGAGGATTTGCCATTGATTTGTCATTCATGGTTATTTATGAGAACATTAATGCAGCTTGCATGTTCATCACATAATGTGAAAGAAGTCTAGTGTTATTGTTTTATGTTATGATACACACATTTCCGTTTTATAATGGTGTCAATAGTTAATGGTGTCTGTAAAGGGGCCTCCTTCCTCTTTGCTAAGCCGTGAGCGTCAGATGAGATGAAATGACAATGCGGTGATTGTCAGTGTGCTGTTGCCACTTTAGTCATGACTTTTTAATGCTGTTTTCACATGGGAACCCTCCCCAGAATGATAAACAGATGCCTAATGCTTTTATGGATGCGATTTTCTTCCCATCTTATTCTCTCGCTCTCCAGCTTGACTTGATTCACCACCTCCTCTCCTCTAACTTCCCCTGCCATCTACTTCCTCTTTAAGATTCACTTCTTCCTCATTGTCCAAACATCTCTTTCTTTCAATTTCTCTCTGTTTGTTTCTGTCTGTCTCGTCCTACAGGTGCTGTGCCTGATCACGGCTCCAGTGACCATGATCCTGTCTTCGCAGCAGGATGCCTCCTTTGCCTTTGCTTCTCTGGCAATCGTCTTCTCTGCCTACATCACACTGGTGGTGCTTTTCGTGCCCAAGGTGCTGAAACACATGACTAATACCTTTACAAACTGCTGCAGATACCAAAAAGTACACTAACAGTGTTGTAATAGTAGCAGAGGTCAAACATGTTAGTCTCATTGTCTTTGGGAGGAAAGTCCAGCTTCGAGTGCACAGTGTATGAAAATGACAAACTACTGAAGCCTTACATGGTTCAAAATTCAACTGGCTCAAAAAAAAAAAAGGCCATTTAAATGATAAAATCTTTAATCTGTTTGTGCTTTCACAATTAACATAATAATCTGATATTCTTTTACATTTATAAGCGCTGTAAAGAAAATCCTCTGGCAGCAGCTGCAATGATTTGTTTGGACTGAATAGAAGAGCAGGTTAGTGCACATGAACACTGCTACAGACAGAGGCAAGAGTGCCACCTACAGAAATTTGAGCTTTAATTAACTGGAAATCCAAGGACACAAACATGATGATATTACCACTGTTTGTTGGGCTGTTTCTGTAAGTGCAGTGCAGAAACAGCGCAGCAGTGAGCAGCAAAAACAGAGGAAGCTGAAAAATAAAAGCATCCACACTTAAGATTAACTTCAGTAATGAAATCCTTTCTAAGCCTTAAGACAAAATGTGAGATTTGGCTAAAATAAGTTCTCAGCAGATGTGCTGTTCTTTTGGCTCAGGGCTCTCTCAGGCCTGATTTTCTTTTTTTATTGACTTACTGTTCCTGTGGCGGTCCAGATGCGGCGTCTCATCACCCGCGGTGAGTGGCAGTCGGAGCAGCAGGACACTCTGAAGACCGGCTCGTCCACCAACAACAATGATGAGGAGAAATCCAGGCAGCTGGAGAGAGAGAACAGGGAGCTGCAGAAGATCATTCAGGAGGTGAACACATTATCTACAGAAACATGCACGCTGTCATTATTAAACATGCACATCCAAATGTCAGGCACATGGCATACTGTACGAGAGCATAGAAAGCTGCACGGTGTGTGAAAAATAGGGAGCATTAATAACACAGAATATTATGGCATAGAAATACAGATCAGGGAATTATCACTTTATTTGTTGTAGTTATTTTGCTTTATGGTCATGTAACTAGGTCTGTAACATTTACTTTCATCATTAAATAATGCTTTAGGTGAAGAAACCTTACAAAATGATAAAGAATTGGCATTTTGTAGTGGAGAAATAACAAATCTTCACAAGAGAAGCCAAAGCAAAAGCTTCATAAATTCCCTGAAAAAAAATGGAAAAATATTTGGATGTAGTATTTTCAGAACAGGACAGGGTGAATATTTTTCATAACTTAAAGTATAGAACACGCTGGGTGTGTGACTTAATATACATTAAATAATAAAGAGTTTATTGGACTCCTTACAGAGTAAACAGAGCCAAGTGTCAAGGTGAACTACCTGCTGGAGAGGTCATGTGTTATGGGGTTTGTATTAGAGTCCTGAAATTATGGGTGTTGAATCAAAAATGTATTAAAATCATTATTGATCAGGAGATCCACTGCCCACATTTACCTGTGTTAGAAGATCTTCCACTCTAAGCTGTGAAAGGGTTCATATACGTACTGTACCTGTTATGCCAGGCAGGGGGTGTAGCCTGTAGAACAGCGGCTGTCAGCATATGTGCCAGATTGGCACCTCCTGATTAGTGGCATGGCTGCATATGAAAAGGATGCTAGGCAATATTTTCTTCCTAGGAGGACTTTAGAAAAGGGGCCTTCATTTTTAGCTTCTTAAAGGGCTTTCAGATAGGATGAGGTATGTGCTGCACTCGCCGTCAGTGAAAAGCTCTGGTTAACTAAAGCCAGAGCTTTTCGTGGATGCTTTTTGTATTAATGAGGAGGAGACGAGCTGAAGCAAAGAAGAAGAGGGTGTGGGTCTGCGAAAATCAGCTTTTCCTCCATTTTCTTTGTGGTCTGTCAGATTCTCTGCGATTGGACACGTTGAGGTGACGTCACAGAGCGCTGCGGCCAAGTTGAATGTGCAGGAACGACACACACGGCCTTGTGCTGCACTCAGCTCAGTGATATGTTCTTGCGCTGCGCAACACATAGAAATGAATGCGTTCAATAGTGGAGCGCAGCGCCCACTGCATTCTATCTGGAAGCCCCTTTAATGTCTTGTAAATTTGGTTGTGTTTCAGATTTTCCATTTTGAAATTAAGTTCTGTTTACAAAAGTTCTGAATGCATTAAAATATCAAAAAGTTACAATCTAACAAGATCAGGAAGTACTGCAAAAGCCATACATTTAAAACTGTAAAAAAAAGAGAAAGATATGTTTAAACACTAGCTTAAAGCTACAGTATGTAACTTAAGGTAGCACTAGCATGATACTCCCAATAAATCCACTCTGCTTCGCCCAGCGCTCCTGCTCCCTGCTCCACTATGCTGCACTACATCCACCACGCTCTGCCCAGATATTTGTCGCTATGAAATTACAATAAATGAGAATGCAACAAAAATTTACTGATCAAGCAGAAATAATTAAAAATCTCTGACTGGTGAAAAAGACCAGTCCTGCTCAAAACCTTGTAGAAGCTAATATCTCTGCACTGCTGCCAGTGCTGTTCAATGAGTCTGGGTCACAGGAGGCATCGACAGCATCTCTCCACATTAAGACAAGTTTTGAAACGTTTCTACAACAAAAATATTTGAAAAAGTTGCATACTGTAGCTTTAACTGATAATTTAACATTTAAAAAACAGCAAAGTCACTCTCATTGTATTCTTAGAAAGAAGAGAGGGTCTCAGCGCTACGGAACCAGCTGGCTGAGCGGCAAGCTCTACGCAACCGCCGCCGACCCTCCACAGGACAGAATCAGAACCACAATGCCCCTCCGCCCTCATCTCAACCAGATCCTAAGTCTCTGCTTCCACCGCCTGGCTACCCCAACCCCATCATAGACAACCACTCCCTCCCAGCCTCCTTCTCCAACTCGTCCAGCCTCTACCCAACGGACAGCAAGATGAGCCGCAACCACTGTCACAACAGCCAGATCCCACTGCTGTATAAATAGGCGAGGCACAGGGGTGGGGAGACAGTCGCACAGCACACACAGGGAACACGAAACACAATGAGACACTGTGACTTTCACTTGTTTGGGCGATGGGCACAGAGGTGCGGTGACACTGTTTTAAAATACAGCGCAGAAACATAATTACACGAGTGCTTTACAGGTTTGGGGAGAGTCTTGCAAATAACACCCGAACTTTTGATCTCACTGCGTCCCACCCAGCAACAAGGCGCTTGTGACTGGTCGACACAGCAACAAGCACATCTGAGACTAGCAGCACTCGAGGTCTTTTCAAAGGGCAACTGAATGGACAGATCTCATACTCATTCCTCTCCTCATTTGTTATCTTGTTCTGTTGTGGAGGCACCGTGTCGAGGATCTTAACAGGAAATGTTTGTGTTTGTGTCTTGGCTATATTGTCTCCACCTTTTGTGTCTTGGGTTTGTTGACTAGACAAGCACATACAGTGGTGATTTATATTGTTCTGTAATATCTAATGTTTTGCTATGGAATTGATGTTAAATTATTTGTTTACATTTCAGGAGAGTTGTGAAACTGACATTTACAAAGGCACAAAGTGATGTACAGTTTTTCCCGGTGTGTCCTTTGAAGAGTGGCTGAGCTTGACTGTATAGAAAACTGTTTTGACTGAAAAGTGTTATTGTGCATTATTAAATAGCCATAATTTAGATGGGCCCAGGAGCTTGGCATGTATGGACATCTGTTGTCAGGACTGTGAATTCAAGTACAGCACTGCATCTTAAAAAGCCAGTCCTGTGCTGATGCATATTAGACCCAACTGAATACAGAAAAGCTTGCTGATGTAGAAGAACAATTCTGATAGTTCTGCCAATTGAAATAATGTTTCACAATGTAATTTTGACATCTGTGTTGTATCTGCTTAGCAGTAGAGTAGAAGCCATCAAATAAATCTCTCATCCTGCTTCTAATGTGTCTTGCAGATTTCACGGCCTGCTGCTGCAGCCACAGCTGACTCTTACATTTAGTAGGTAATAACACACAGGGATATACAAATGAAAAACTGGAAACTCCTAATTCCAGCTTGCCAATTAGTCTAATACTTTCTGCCTCCTGAAAATCAAAGCCGATATATACACTTTTACAGTTGCAGTGCGCTGCAGTGTGGGACTTCAGCTGTGGCTGTTTCTGTAGATATTCAGAGAAATATTCACATATTGTTTTTATACTTGTGACTTTGTTACGCATCATTCTTGTGCGCCTTTTTAATTTGAAAGGATGCTTTTTTTAATTTATGTTTTCCCATAACAGATCTGGATGGATGCTTTTCTTTTTTGTATGTTGCTTTCCAGTTTTGCCTTTGAATAACAGTTGTAAATGTTTCAAAGAAGGACATAAGTAATGTGATATACTGTATTTATTCCACAGTTAAACTGGATGTACTATTTCATTCATGAGTAATTCCAGATTTTATAAAGCAAAGATCTCTGAACATCTTTATCAGCTTAAATAATACTATCAAATATTTTTAAATGCATATATTCCAGTGTGCACTTTAACCTAAACAAGCTATGGTTATTCCACTTTATGTTGCTGTTATTCTAGGACATGTTTAGCTCAGGGTATGAGAAGGACAGTCATTAGTGAATGAAATAGGTCATATGCATTAACTGTGCAGTACCTGGGTCAGATAGTGTAACATATGAATGCAGAAATCATTTAGGAAATACTTTATTATATTGCACATATATGACAATATATAGGGTTTGGGGGATATTTGTATTCACTATACCTATGATATTAAATGTTAATATATTTCAGAATGTGTATGCAAATATATGGTTAACAAATAAAATAATTGTTTTTTTTTCCACTGGGTATTTTTGTGTTTCAGTGATGCCTTTCACACATCTGGAGCAAGGAATTAGAGGTCATTTTCAAAATGTTACACTAAATCTGTGATCGCTTAAAAGTCTTTGAAACCTATTAGTGGATTTTTCATCGACCCTTTTCAGCTTGACAGTGCTTGAATAAAACTACAATTCTCCAGGTGTTTTTTTTCAGCATTTTATCATTTTAGAATCAAATCCTCTTTAGAAAAACATCCAACTACTTTTTAAGACACAGGTCTCACTGTCCTGTGGATTACGCACAAGATGTTTACATAGTCCACTAGATGTCACCAGTTCTTTGCTTTTCTGACTCATGATCTTAAAGGATTTAACTCTGTTTGGGTTTATTGTTAGTGACACTTGATATTTTTCTCCAGGTTAAGGCAAAGAGCAAACCTTGTAAAGGAGGAAGTGGGAAGAGGTTGTCATCACACAGGACCACCTTCAGAGGCCAGTGGAAGCCACGTTACTGAGACAATAAGTGAATGTTGACAAATGAAAATATTGACAAATTGCTCCCAAGTGCATCCGATATTTGTGTGATGTGTGTTTGTAGATGACAAAGCCAGCTGTCCTGTGATCACACAACACACACACACACACGTGTTATCACATCCACAGTCCCTCCCATGTCATGTCTCTTTCCAGTTGACTGAAGCTGAGCTATGAAGTCATAAAGGGAAATTTGTTGGTGGTGTGGAGGAGTGGGGAGGTTATACTGCAGGCTGTGTTTGTGTGTGGGAGAGAGGTGTCTATGTGGGTGTGTTTGTGTGAAGGCAGTTGGGGGCGGCGGGGGAAACCCATTCTGGGCTGAGGCTTCTGTGGGCCTCCACCTGACACAGCAAACAGTGAGACTCAAAAAAGTAGGAAATTCCCCTCGCCTTGTCTGATCTAACAAAGGAAGTATTTGCTGGTTGTGGAGGAATTTCAGAGTTTTTGCCAAAGTGTGCTGCAATATGTGTGTGTTTGTGTGTGTGTTCTGGCTGGAGCTGTTTGCCAGCTCAGCTCCAATCTTCTGTGTGTATTCTGTTGGTATATGATCTATGAAATAAGTGACTTTCATGATGCCTTTTTTTTTGTTTTCTCTTTTTAATTAGGTTTATGTGCACAGAATAAATAAATAATCCTTTGATACCAAATCCCAACAAAATAAATATAAATAAAAACTAATAAATACACATAGATTGTAATAGTACATAATCCTTGAACCTAAACTCTGTTATCACCTGATACAGCAGAAACATCAAGCCTACTACAATCTCAAGTCGGCATAAATAATGTACAAAAAGTGCTTAAAATAAAAAATAATGTTGCAAACTGTTACAGTTTGTAGGATTGTAAATAATCAGCACAGCCTGTTTGGCTACAAGGTGTATCTCAATTGAGATTTAAACATTTCTACATCACCATGAAGATGAATAATGACTTTTTAAGCCGATACTATGACACTGTGTGGAGTGTGTATCTTCTCTTTTAGTATCACAGTCATTTCAAAGTGCAAACACACCAAAGAAAGTCTTGCCCTCATCAGTGTCCAGCTGTGATAGCTGACTAGTTTCCGTCCACAGTCGGTCTCCTGTATGCAGCTGAAACACTGCTCCCAGATAAATGGTTTTGTACAAGCCCTGTCCATTGCTGTAGTTGTTGTCCTCCTGAGCCGTGTTTCGGCACGCTGACCTCACCCCATTCATCAAAGAGGCTTTGCTGCCTCTGGAGTCTGAAAAGCGCCAGATCCTGTGGCTGACAGTCAAGCGTTTTTCCGCTTCCTCCTCATCACCATCGCTGCAGGAGACTCTGAACGAGGCCTGGCTGTAGACGAAGTAGAGGCCTGTGTGTGGGATAGAGATCTGGTTGTCTACCAGTTGTAAGCCACCCAGACTGAACGCCTGGCCTTGATTGTTCTTCCACTCCAGCTTCTCTTCTGAGCCTACAACCTCTTCATCATAGCTACCTGGAAAAACAGAAACAGAGTGGTTTTGAACATCTTGGTTCTTATCTCCATAGGGTGTTAACCAAAGGAGTGAGTAATTAACAGGTGAGTTATTAGGAAAGTGGAATGAAGGCTGTGGCTGATGAATAACTTCCTTGTGCTCCCAACTAACAGTGGAAAAATATTATGAAAGGCTCTTTTAAAAAGCTGATCCCATTGTTTGCTGAGAACCAAATGAAGGTAGGCTGTGACTCACCTTCTAAATGGATGGCTGCCTTGGCTTTGCTGCTGATTTGTCTCAGCATGTGGTGGGGATCTGAGGAGAGACGGACAAATGTGAGCATGTCTCAAACAATCCTCAAAGATTTATGTATCCCACAAAACCCATTTGAATGTTTTTTTTTTAATGAGCAACTACTGTATGTGTGTAATCACCTGTTTTCTCAGCAGTGTCCTTCTCAATTAACATTTCTGATTGACCTGATGGCGTCTGCATAGGCAGAAAGAACAGATAAATAAAAGATAAGCGAAATTGTCAGTTTTTCCACAGAATACATGGTTTTAAAAGATTTTTTATCAAATTCAGAAAGACAGAGTCACTCCTTACCATCGGTTCTGGCCTCTTATTCCAGTACAAATCAAACAACACGATGCCTCCTAAACAAAGGGCCACAATAAAAATGGCCGTGCACGCATTCCATATCCATCTTGTAGATGACTTCTTTTCTACCAAAACCACTGGCCTCTCCTCAAGACCCATCTCCACATCACCTGGTGCAGCTGTATATTCCGCCATACTGTGCACAACTCTCTCAAGGCCTTACTGCTTGCTGTTAATAAAAATCTACAAAGTAAACACTCGGCTGGATGCTGCGTCTGTGGTATCTCTGTGGAGGTATTTCTTTCTTTGTGTTGCTATTGTGTTAGAATGAGCTTCTGCCAGAGAGCTTGTAGTATTTATGCTGCTTCTGCAGAAGGGAAACTCCAGTGATGTCACTCTGTAAGCGGAGACAGTGCAGAATGCAGTGATAGAGCGACCTGGAGA